CCTCTCAGAGTTGTGGGATGCGTTTTTCACTCATGTCTGGTGGGAGGAGAAGTCACCGTTTCTAGTTCTTTGAAAAGTAAGGAGGGACTTTTGTTTCCTTCCTTGTATCACAGAGGCTGAGAATGGGGAACATGTCCTTTCCTGACGCACTAGGATGGGGGAATGTGACTGCTGTGAGTCACTTTTTATCAAGATGACCAAATACCTAACTTAAAGAGGATTTATTTTGGTTCATGGTCTCAAACGTTTTAATCCATGATTGCTTGGTCTCCTCACTTTGGGCCTGAGGCAACACTTAACATCAGGGTGGAAGGAGGACATGGCAGGATAGAGCTTTTCACCTCATGGTGGCCAGGAAGTAGAAAGAGTCTTGGACAAAATATGCCCTTCACAGCCTATCCCTAGTTGCCTACTTCCTCCAAGCATGTCTTACTTCCTCAGTCTCCATCACCTGCCAATAATGTCAACAAGTCACAAATCCATCAATGGGTTAATCCATTGATGAAGGCAGAGAATGTACAGTTCAAGCACTTCTCATTAATACCTTACCTGGGGACCAAGCCACTTAGCACATGAACCTTCTAGGGAATACTTCACATCTAAAGCATAATAGATACTTTATGGCTGGGAATGTGGCAAAGTTGGTAGAGTGCTTGCCTAGCATGCATGAAGCCCTGGGTTTGATTCCTCAGTACCACATAAACAGAAAAAGCCGGAAATGGCACTGTGGCTGAGCAAAAGAAGCTCAGGGACAGCACCCAGGCCTTGAGTTCAAGCCCCAGAACTGGTAAGAAGAAGAAGAAGAAGAAAAGCATAATAGATACTTTAATCACCTTCGCCTGGAGCTGACCTCTGTGTGGATGGAGATGGGGCACTGCACATGTTAAGGGTTCTTTTAGGAAGGAAGGAAGCAGAAGAGATTATGGGGTTATTTTACTTGGGTGTTTTCTTTCCTTGTTGCAGGGTTTCTTGAATCTCTAGAATTTTGATTTTTTTTTTTCTTCTGAAGAGTCTTCCTATGCAGCCCAGGCTAGTCCTGAACTCATAATCTTTCTGCATCAGCCTTCCAAGTGCCAGGACTACAGGTGTGAACCATCATAGTTGGCTCTAGTGTTAAGGAGCCTGTCCTGGCTGACATCAGGCCTAGAAACCTGAACTAAGTCAGGACCTCCTCCCCTTCAGGGACCATTCTGGTGATAAGCACACCAGCCATTATTGTAACCAGTTTGACCAGAATGAGCTTGGTCACTAGCTTCTGTAATCATGCTTGTGTCCTGTGCTAATTCTTTTTTTTTTTTGGTCCAGTTGTGGGACCTGAGCACTGTCCCTCAGCTCTTCAGCTCAAGGCTAGTGCCCTACCACCTGAGCCACAGCGCCACTTCCGGCTTTTTTCTTTTTGCTTATGTGGTGCTGAGGAATCGAACCCAGGGCCTCAGGCATGTAAGGCAAGCGCTCTACCACTGAGCCACCTTCCCAGCCCCTCCTGTGCTAATTCTTACGTCCCCTTGCCCACCTAAACTTGCTTACAAATACTCTGTACAAACCAATAGTCAGTACTCAGATTTTGGATGGGACTCCCCTGGGCCCGCCAGGGTAAAATAAACCTGAGTTACTCCCGCCTTGGTCTCAACAGTCTAGTCATCTTTCTGTGGCACTAGTAGTTCTTTAAATCTACTTTTGTCCAAAATGAGTCAACAAAGGCTAATTGGTACTTTTTTTTCTTTTTGTCAGTCATGAGGCTTGAACTCTGGGCCTAGGCACTGTCCCTGTGCTCTTTAGCTCTAGGCTAGTGTTTTACCACTTGAGCCACAGCGCTCCTTCTGGTTTTCTGGTGGTTTATTGGAGATAAGAGTCTCACGGACTTTCCTGCGGGCTGGCTTTGAACTGTGATCCTCAGATCTCAGCCTCCTGAGTAGCTAGGATGACAGGCGTGAGCCACCAGCGCCCAGCCTAATTGGTACTTTCTACTCTGAAGTAAAACTTTCTAACCTGAAAGATAAACTTTTGCATTTTTCTTTTTGTTTTAGGGTTTTTTGTTTTTTGTGTTTTTGTGGTTGCTGTTGGTGGTGGTGGTGGTCATGGGGCTTGAACTCAGCACCTAGGTATGTTCCTGACCTTTTTTCACTCAAGGCTAGTTTTCTACAACTATTTTTTTTTTTTTTGGGGGGGGGGGGTCAGTCGTGGGACCTGAACTCTGGGACTGGGCGCTGTCCCTCAGCTCTTCAGCTCAAGGCTAGTGCTCTACCACTTGAGCCACAGCGCCACTTCCTGCTTTTTTCTGCTTATGTGGTGCTGAGAAATTGAACCCAGGGCCCCATGCATGCCAAAGCATGCAGTGGCAAGGCTCTACCACTGAGCCAACTTCCCAGCTCTAGTGCTGTACTACTTTAAGCCACAGCACCACTTCTGTTTTTCTGGTGCTTACTTGGAGATAAGAGTCTCAAGGGACTTCCTGCCTGGCTGACTTCAAACCAGGATCCTCAGATTACAGGCCTGAGCCATTGGTACCTGGCTTGTCTTTAGAGAAAAAAAAAATCTAAAACTGCATCGGTCTTATCAGCATCAAAATCACACATCCAGGTCTTAGAAGAAAATGAAACAATGCCTTCTAGGTTTTAAGGGGAAATGTTTATTTAGCCTAGAGTTTTCTATCAATCAAGAGCAAGAATAAAAGACATTTAGGCAGAAATACTTAGAACATTTATCTATGTCTTGGGAAGGTCACTTTCTTAGGAAGTGACTTGGGGGAGTACTCCAGCAAAACTGAGAGGCCATGGAGCTAGGCATTTGTGGCTTACGACTGTAATCCTAGCTATTTATTTAGTAGGCTGAGATCCGAGGCTCATGCCTATAATCCAGCAATCTAGAGGCTGAGGAAGAAAGATCTCTAGTTCCAGATCAGCCTGGACAACATAATGTAATCATTATCTCAAAAAATACAAAGCCGGGGACCAATGACTCACTCCTGTACTCGTAGGTACTCAAAAGGCTGAGCACTGAGAATGGAGATTCAAAGCCAGCCCAGGCTGGAAAGTCGGTGAGACTCTTATCTCCAATTACCCACCAGAAAATTACAAGTGGTGCTGTGGCTCAAACTGATAGAATGCTCTCCTTGAGTGAATGAGCTCAGGAAGAGTGCCCAAGCCCCGAGTTTAAGCCTTAAGACTGACTAGAAACAAAACAAAACAAAACAAAACAAGCTGGATGCTGGTGGCTCATGCCTGTAATCATAGCAACTCCTTAGAAGGCTGAGATCTGCGGATTGTGGTTTGAAGCCAGCGCAGGCAGGAAAGATCATGAAACTATTTTTGTTTTAACCAATCCTGGGGCTTAAGCTCAGGCCTGGGCACTGTCCCTGAGCTTCTTTTGCTCAAGGCTAGCACTCTACCACTTGAGTCACAGCGCCACTTCTGGCTTTTTCTGTTCATGTGGTACTGAGGAATCAAACCCAGGGCTTCATGCAGGCTAGGCAAGCACTTTACCACTAAGCCACCTTCCAAGACCTTTGTTTTTCAGTCCTTGAACTCAAGGCTTAGGTGCTGCCTCTGGGCTTGAGTTTTTACTCAAGGCTAGAGCTCTGCCACTGGAGCCATATCTCCATTTCCATTTTTTTGATGGTTAATTGGAGATAAGAGTTTCACAAACTTTCTTATCTAGGCTGATTTCAAACCATAATCCTTAGATCTCAGCCTCCTGAGTATCTAGGATTATGAGCAACAACAAAAATGCAAAAAAGCTTAGGGACAGTGCCCAGGTCCTGAGTTCAAGTCCCAGGACTGATACCAAAATTAATTTGTAATCAATTTTTAGATTGTTTTTACTGCGCTATAGGAGGCTAAAACTTATTCTCTTATCTAACTCATCTAGCCTAATTTTCCTTCCCAGTGTCTGGTATCACTTTCTATTTTCTGCTTCTCTGAAATCAACTCTTTAGCTTCCACCTGTGAGAAAGAATATACAATATTTCTATTTTTGTGCCTGGCTCATTTCTTTTAACCTGATAGTTTCCAGGTTCATCGATGTTGCTGGAAATGACAGGATTTTTTTTTCTGGCTAATATTCCATTTCCTTTATCCATTCATCCGCTGATGGATGTTTGATGGGTTCTATATCTTGGTTATTATGACTAATGCTGCAAAAGTCATGTGTGTGCAGATGTCTCTTGGAAATAATGATTTCCTTTCCTTTTAATTTATGTCTGGATCAAATAGTATTTCTGTTTTTAGGAATTAAAGAAGAATAATCCAGAACTAGCAAAACAAAAACAAAAACACACAAAAAACTAGAACTGGAAGTTCAGCTCAAATGATAGAGCTCCAGCCATAATGAAAAAGTTTAGCAAGAACTCGAGGCTGCTGGGCATCTGTGGCTCATGCCTGTATTCTTAGCTACTCAGGAGGCTAAGATCTGAGGCTCTTAGAAAGTCTGTGAGACTCATCTCCAGTGAACCAGAAAAAAAAAGCCAGAAGTACAGGTGTGGCTCACGGGGTAGAGTCCCAACTTTGAGCAAAACAACACAAAACAAAACAAAAACTAAGAGACAGTGCCCAGGTTCCTGAGTTCAAACCCCAGAACTGGCACCAAAAAAATTAAATGAATAAATAAATAAGTAAATGAGCAAATACACATAAATAAACACTGCATCTCTTTCCTAGCCAAAGACAATTTGGTTAGTCTGTTAGCTGAGAGCTTTTGAGACAATCTTCCCATGTAGCTTTGAGCATAGTCACTAATTCTATAAAAATAAGACCATAGACCTTGCAGTAGGACTAGTGGGAGTTGTTTCTAAATCTCCTATGTAGGGCACTTGGAGTCTCCGCTGGGGGAGATCCCAACTCCTTGCAACATAGTTCAAGGGCTCACAACCTGCAAAGCCTTCCAGGCCCCAGCTCCCCCCACCCCCTCCAATACTTCCTGGGAGTTGGTGGGCAGGAAATGCACCACCCCAGGTCCTGGTCTGACTCAGGGGGACCACAGATGCAAAGGAAACCACCTTCCCCTCCCTTATTCTCCTCTGCACCCCAGTGTCTCAAGTGTGCTTTCTCACCATGCCAGCTCTGACCCCCCGCTGCGCCATTGTCCCATCTAAGACCCAGGAATCCCCCCAATCTGGACCCCTGCCTCCTCTCTTGTCCCCACTGGGCCCCCAGATTCTCAGGTTCTCATCACAGGGGTAGGAACAGGGGTGGGGTGGGGCAGGACGCATGGGTGGGTGGGTGGAGCCAAGGCCCACTTCCTTTCCCCTTGGGGCTCAGGCTGCTCCAGTCCAAAAGAAGCCTCAGGAGGAGCTGAGCTCCAGTGGCTGGCCCAGGGCTGCCTTATCAGTTGAGCTGGTAAGAGGGTGTGACCTGGGGGGGAGGGGAACAGGAGCCTTAGTGGACATGAGAATGTCCACTGAAGACCCTGACAGGTCATGGGCCTGAGGATCAGAAGCCTGAACAGGCTCAAGGAAGGGCTAGGAGGACGCAGCTATTGATAGTCTGAGTTCTGAGAGCAAGAGGGGAGTTCTGAGGCAGCATCTGAATCCGTGCCTTTGATCTTTCTTATCTTCAGTACTAGGTTTGAGCTCAGGGTACTTGCTAGGCAAGAGTTTCTATGGCTTGAACCACACCTTTTACCTCCCCCCCCCCTCCTACCCCTTACCCACTCTGTTTTTGTTTTTGGGTTTTGTCGGTCATAGGGCTTGAACTCTGGGCCTGGGCGCTGTCCCTCAGCCCTTCAGCTCAAGGCGAGCGCTCTACCACTTGAGCCACTGCATCACTTCTGGTTTTCGGAGTGGTTTATTGGAGATCAGAGTCTCACGGACTTTCCTGCTCCGGCTGGCTTTGAATCGTGACGCTCAGATCTCAGCCTCCTGAGTAGCTAGGATGACAGGTGTGAGCCACCAGTGCCCAGCTCACTCTGGTTATTTTTGAGATAGGGTCTCACTTTTGCCCAGGTGGCTCAGACCTTAATCCTCCTATTTACGCTTCCCACCATAACTCCAATGGCTGTAATTTATCACCACTCCTGACTTGTTTTGTTGAGACAAGGTCTCATTAACTTTGTGCTCAGGCTGACCTTGATCTGTAATCCTCCTGAACACCATTTCTCAATTATCTTGGATTTCAGGCACTGAGCCTGTCCTCTTATTTCTGATAATAGTAAAGGCAAGGATGGAAAAAAAAAAAGCCGTTAAACCACAAGTTGAGCCTGGCAGTTGGCAGGGAAGTGGGCAGGGAGGAGGGCCAGGCTGGGTCCTCCCCCAGCCCCCGTGTGTTCTGTTTCTTCAACTTCTCCACCATCAGGTCCTAACTCCTGCGTCTGCTGGTCACCCTGGAGATGGCCCTGCTTTGTGTCCTCTTTGGGTTGTTCTGGATCCCGATGCTGAGCCTGCAGACTCCAGTAACTTCAGGAAAGCCTCCTTCTTCGGTCTCCTATAACTCTGAGATCCAGCATCTCTCAGACAACCTTACTGATGCTAACAGCACCTGGAACCAGACCTCAACTCCGCCCCACTCCACGCCGTCTGAAAGCAGTAACGTGTCTCTTCCTATGGCTTCCATCAACGCATCTGAGCCAACAGCTTCCCAGGGTGATTCCACCAAGAAGCCTTTGCTTTCCTTAGGAACCTCCAGTGCAACCAGCAGAATTCCTGTCCCTGTCGCAGAGAACTCTCTGGAACACTCCACTTTGACAGGTGGAATCATGACACCTGACTTTCTGGAAACTTCCAATGGTACCGGTGAACCTTCCGTCACCACAGCAACCAATTTTCTGGTTGCTAACAATGAGACTAGTGGATTCCCTGTTACCATGGCAATCAGATCTGTGGCACCCTCTAATGAGATGACAGGACCCCCTGCTACCATGACAACCAGGTCTCTTGAGCCCTCCAATGGGCCCCCTGCTACCATGACAACCAGGTCCCTGGAGTCCTCTAGTGGACCCCCTGTTACCTTGAAGCCCTCCAATGAGACTAATGGACCCTCTGTTGCTATGGCAACTAGCTCTGTTGAGGTCTCTAGTGTGGCCAGCAGCTCTCCAGTCTCTCACGGAAAACTACCTGTAATGACTACTCCGCATCCCTGGACAGACACAAGCTTGAGCCCTGCCCTGGCGGCAGGCCAGGGGTCCCGGGGCATGCTGCTGGTGCCCATGCTCGTGGCACTGCTGGTGGTTATAGTCCTAATGGCTTTGCTGCTGCTGTGGCGCCACCGGCAGAAGCAGCGCACGGGGGTCCTGACGCTCCACAGAGGCGGAAAGCGCAATGGCGTAGCGGATGCCTGGGCTGGGCCAGCTCAGGTCCCTGATGAGGCCATGAGAGCCACGGTGGGAGGATCTGGGGCTGACAAAGGCTCTGGGATCCCTGAGACGGAGGGGTCTGGCCAGAAGCTTTCACTCACCACTTTCTTTGGCAGACGGAAGTCTCACCAGGGCTCCTTAGCACTGGAGGAGCTAAAGCCTGGATCAGGCCCCAGCTTGAAAGGGGAGGAAGAGCCACTGGTGGGCAGTGAGGATGAGGTTGTAGAAGCCCCCACTTCCAATGGGCCGGAAGTAGGGGATGGAGCTGCTTGTGAATAATGAGAGTGGAGTTGGAAGCCTGGTGCTGGTAGCTCACGCCTATAATCCCAGCTACTCAGGAGGCTGAGATCTGAGGATCCCAGTACAAAGCCAGCCCAGGCAAAAAAGTCCATGAGACTTTTATCTCCAGTTAACTAACAAAAAGCCAAGAGAAGTAGAGTCTGGCTCAAGTGGGAGAGCACTAGCCTTGAGTGAAAAGTTAAGGGACTGTGTCCAGGCATTGAGTTCAAAACCCAGTACCGGTGCAGAAAGAAAATAAAATTAGTGGGAGCCACTATTCCTCGCCACTTTCCATTCCCTTCCCTCTTAGCACAATTCCCTCAGCCTTCCCCAGCATCTAGCTGCTGCCCAGACCTTCACTTGCAATCTTTTCTCTGTGTGTGTGTGTGTGTGTGTGTGTGTGTGTGTGTGCGCGCGCACGCCAGTCCTGGGCCTTGAACTCAGGGCCTGGTCATTGTCCTTGAGTTTCTTTTGCTCACAGCTAGCACTCTACTACTTGAGCCACAGAGCCACTTCTGGCTTTTTTTCTGTGTAGGTGGCACTGAGGAATCGAACCCAGGGCTTCATGCATGGTAGGGAAGCACTCTACCACTAAGCCACCTTTCCAGGCCCTTCACTTGCAATCTTCACACAGCTTTTCAACTATAGATTCTCCAGCCAGCATTCTCGCCCAGCGTCTGGAGGTGCACCTGAGCCAGGGCCCACACCTGCTGACCAGCTACGCCCTGCCAAACCTTCATCCACCTTCTTCATCGACCCTTCCTTTCTTTCCTCCATTGACACCAAGCTTACTCAGCCTGTGATTTATCTGAGAACTCCTTCAAAGGATACTCTGAGAAGAAAGAAATGACAAGCCAGAAAATGCCCTAAGAATTTGCTCAGAGAATCTTCTAGTTAGGACAGTCCTGTTGGGCCAACCCATCCATGAAACTTTGATTCGCTTTGGTCCAGCCTGGAGCCCGGGTAAGGGAAGAGGGGAGAGAGGGGTTGGGGGCTGTGTTCTCTGGTGGGCTTGTGACCCACCCCAAAGCACCACCAGCTTCTCCATTCTCTCTGCTCTCCTCTGTATTGACGCTGTCTAATATGGGAGTTTCAGGCTAGGCAGAGTTCTCCAAATTCCCAGCACCTGACTAGGTCCAGAGATGTGGCTTGTGCATCACAGGTGTGAATTTAGCAATGTTGTTGTTGTTTTAAATTTCTTTCTTGGGACTAAGTGATTACATAAACTTCACAGTACTGTGGGATAGTGATACTTAGCTAAAGTCACAAACGCATTTTAACCTTCACAAAGTGAATTGTCATTATCATGGTCTATAAAGCTTGTGAACTCTACAGACTTTGACAATGCAACTAATTCTTCTAAATAGGGTGATATGTAGAGTTCTTTCCTTTGGCTTAGGGTAAGCTGTTCCCATTTTCTCCCTCATTTCCTCCCTTGTTTGTTTTGTTTTTGAAACAAATGTAATTTTATTGCCGGGCATTGGTAGTTCATACCAGTCATCCTAGCTACTCAGGAGGCTGAGATCTGAGGATCGAGGTTCAAAATCAGCAGAGGCAGGAAAGTTCTTGAGACCACCAAAGAATCAGAAGTAGCACTGTGGCTCCAAGTGGTAGAGCACTGGCCTTGAGCAAAAGAGCTCAGGGACAGTGCCCGGGCCCTGATTGCAAGCCCTGCTTGCAACCCACAAAAATAAATAAATAAATAAAATATGTATACATATATAGTATATGATTTTTGTTATTATTAAGATGTTTCACACAGGGGTTACTATTTCATAACTCAGGTACTGAGTACATTTCTTTTTCAATGGTGGCTATAGGTTTGTCATATACAGCCTTTATTTTTATTTTTTTCAGTCAAGGGGCTTGAACTCGGGGCTTGGGCGCTGTCCTTGCGCTCTTCAGCTCAAGGCGAGCACTCTACCACTTGAGCCACAGCACCACTTCCCTGAGTACATTTCTTTTTGGGCACGTCACCCCTTCCTTTGCTTTCCCCCACTTTCCCCGGAAATGTTTGCAAAAGGTAGGGGTGAGTACAGTGTGTGTCCTTGGGGGGAGAGGGGATTGCTCAGCAGTGGGCACTGGTCTTACTGATGCCAGTTCCCTTCCATGTTTGATTTTTCTATCTGTATCTCCTTTTCCATTCTAGAGGTTGGGCGCCTCCCTTTCTGTTTAGATAAAGGGAGAAGAGACAGGCCGGAGGAGGAAGGAGAGACATGCTTGGGACTTTTGCCCTGGTCTGGGGTGGAGAGATGGGCCAAGTCCTGGCAGTATTGTCTCAGATCAGCTCTGGCTACAGCCCCCAGTGGACATGTGGGCCAGAGGTGGTTGGTATTTCCCCAGGTGGCGGAAGAACTTTGTAAAGAGGAAACTGTTGAGTCAGACTGAGGGCTGAAAACAGACACTCACATGTGAGTGTGAATGCAAAGGCCTGGGTGGAGAAGGAAGGTAGGATAGGGAGGGTGAGGCGTGGTGTGTGTGTGTGTGTGTGTGTGTGTGTGTGTGTGTGTGCTGGTGAAGTCTAAGAAGAGAGAGGAGAAAAGAGGAAGAGTGGCCATAGACGCAGCTGCCACCGCACAAGGCTCTGTGGCCCCCTGAGCTTGATCTGAGAGGAAGGGCTGGGCTGGGCTGGACACCTAGATTCCCCCAGCCAGACTGGGCACCCAAGGGTCCACACTGGGCCCTTGGCCTGCATCTCACCAAGTGCTATTTGTTTGAGATCGATCAAACCACGCACCTCAATTTCAGTGTTTAGAAAACACTTGTCAGGGAGGCTGGGAAGGTGGCTCCGTGGTAGAGCGCTTGCCTTGCATGCATAAGGCCCTGGGTTTGATTCCTCAGCATCACATAAGCAGAAAAAGCCAGAAGTGTCGCTGTGGCTCAAGTGGTAGAGCGCTCGCCTTGAGCTGAAGAGCTGAGGGACAGCGCCCAGGCCCAGAGTTCAGGCCCCACAACTGACAAAAAAGCAAAAGAAAACACTGTGAGGGATGGGAGAAGTCCCCAGCTCCCCGCCACGGCTCTCAGTTTCGGAGCTGTTACTGGTTTTCAACTCCTGTGCAAATGCTGGAGGAAAGAGTGGGAGGGCGGGGAATGCACCTGGAGGGGACTTCAGAAAATGTCAAAATGTCAGTGTTAAAACAGAGGCACAAAGAAAATGTCACGAGCTCACAGAATTCTTGAGGAGAGCAATTCCCTGAAGAGCTCGCTCTGGGGACTCTGTCTGCTTCACTGCTGTCTTTCTGGTGGCATGGTGACTGGCTGGTAGCAGGTTGTCAATGAAATGCATGTCAGGGACTGAACAAATGAATGAATGAAGGAAGGAAGGAAGGAATGAGCGAGTGATTAAATAAGTAGAATGCATGGTTGAGTGAATGAATGAATGAGAGTGGATTGAGTGAATGAATGAGATTTTGAAGGCTAAGAATTTTGCTAGGCTGGCAAAGGGGGTAGGGCAGGTACAGAAGTAAATATTTGTAGAGAGTTTGTTGTTGTTTTTTAAACATGGAATAAGTGTGTCCTGGTTCTGAAAGAGAAGAAGTAGGAGGAGATAGTGTAAGCCTAAAAAGGAAAAAAAAATAAACAAGCAGAAAGAGGAAAACAAGCAATAATGAACTATAAAATATGGAGACAGATTCACATATATTGATAATGAAAACAATTCTAAGGGATTTGTTTTTCTTGTCACACTCATTAGGAATCATGTTTTCAAGAGCTATGTGAAGACTTTGTAAATGCCTACAATATGATGTTAAGTAGAGAAAAAAGCCAGTGACAATCTGTGAATACATATGGTTCTAGTTTTGTAGTGACTCAAAAATATGCATACTTATAGAAAGAAGAGGAAATATACCAAATGTTCACAGTTAGCTATAAGATGATAGGTTTAAGTGTAATTTTTATTTTGTTCATACTTTTCTGTTTTTGCCAAATTTTGTACAATAAATGTCTATTGCGTTTTTGTCTAGAAAAAAAGTTGATTAAAAAAATTAAAAAACAACAATAATGTTCTAGCCCGGTGCAGTGGTTCATGCCTGTAATCTTAGCAATTTGGGAAGCTGAGATCAGGAGGATTACAGTTTGAATCCAGAAAGATGTTCTCAAAATACCATATCAACCAATAAAAAAGCAAAGTGTGGTGGTTTAGCCTGGCATCCCTGCTGTTCAGGAAGCATAAGCAGAAGGATCGTGGTTCAAATCAACCCAGGTAAAAAGCAAGACCTTGTTCAAAATAAATAAATAACAGGCCCAGTGCTGGTGGCTCATGCCTGTCATCCTAGCTACTCAGGAGGCTGAGATCTGAGGATCACGGTTCAAAGCCAGCCCAGGCAGGAAAATTTGTGAGACTCTTATCTCCAATCAAACCATTAGAAAACCAGAAGTGGTGCTGTGGCTCAAGCAGTAGAGTGCTCACCTTGAGTTGCAGACACAGGGACAGCGCCCAGGCCCAGAGTTCAAGCCCCATGACTGACAAAAAAAAAACCCACAATAAAAGCAAAAGGATTGGGGGCATCGCTCAAATGGTAGAGTACCTGCCTAACAAGTGCATGACCCTGAGTTCAAACCCCAGTACTATTCCATGGTATGAAATTAAAGCATCTGGTTGAGGATAGTTGTGGGGATGCGGCTGAGGAGGAGGTTGGGGTTGGGCATGGAGGTCTGGGGAGCTTGGATTTGCTTCTGCCAGGAGTGAGGGAGTCAGCGGACTGTCTGCTTCAAGCCTGGCTTCTTGAACCCCAGCATGTGGTGAGTACTTCCTCTGTTGCCCAGCAACCCATCTTCAAACCATCCGGAAACTCTCTCCCCTTTCCTGCTCCCTGCAGCCAATTCCCCAGGCCTTGAATCCCTTCCTTCTTTGTCTCTAGTTTCCATCATCTCCGGCCTGGGTCCCATTTCCTGATCCTTTCCCTTCTGTCTATGAAGGACCCAGGGACTTCTCTTCTTTGTCAAGTTTCATTTTATTTTTCAATTGACACACAATTATTATTCAAATCTATGAGCTACAATGGGATGTTTCAATATATGTATATAATGTGTAATAATGAAATCAAGGTAATTAGCATATCCATCTACTCAAATCTATATTATCTCTTTATGGTGAAACATTAGAAATCTCCTGTAGATGTTTTGAATACAGAACCTATTATTAATAACTATAGATATCCTACTGAGCAATAGAATATGAAAACTTAGCTGGGTTGGGTACTGCTGGCTCATGCCTCATTACAGGCAAAAAAAAAAAGGGGGGGGGCTGGGAATGTGGCTTAGTGGTAGAGTGCTTGCCTAGCATGCATGAAGCCCTGGATTCGATTCCTCAGTACCACATACACAGAAAAAGCTAGAAGTGGCTCAAGTGGTAAAGCGCTAGCCTTGAGCAAAAGAAGCTCAGGGACAGTGCCCAGTCCCTGAGTTCAAGCCCCATCTACCACTACCACCACCAACAAAAATAAAAACACAAAACAGAAGAGGAGGTGTGACTCAAGTGGTAGAGTATCAGCCTTGAGTGTAAAAAGGCAAATGAAGCCAGGTGCTGGTGGCTCATGCCTCTAATCCTAGCTATTCAGAAGTCTGAGAACTGAGGGTTGTGGCTCAAAGCCAGCCCAGGCAGGAAACTCTGTGAGACTCTTATTTCCAATAAACTACCAGAAAAACAGAAGTGGTGCTGTGGATCAAGTGGTAGAGAGTTCACCTTGAGCTGAAGAGCTGAGGGACAGCGACTAGGCCCAGAGTTCAAGCCCCACGACTGACAAAAACAACAACAACAACAAAAACAAAAACAAAGAGGCAAATGAGAGCATGAGGCCCTGAGTTCAGGTCCCAGTGTTGGCGTGCATGCACACGCGCACGCGCACACACACATACACCAATTCTTAATGGTTACATGCCTTGCAGAACTAACTGACACAGTGTGTGGCTGCCTAGTTCTGGAGAGGTTTGGTGGGGAGGGGGGGTTATGAGGGAACATTGGGGATGAAGGACTTGCTGTCACTAGTGAGCTACAGGGGATGTCTGTGAGTCCCGGTCCCCTCCAGCTGGTGGCATTAGGACAGCCAGCCTGCACCTTGGTAAAGCTCCCAGCTCAAGCAGAATGGACTGTGTCGCCCTGGAGAAAGCCACCTGCTCCCCCTTGCATTTGTACCCGCTCTGCCCGAAGCCAGCCCACCCCCAGCTGTCCCCAGAGCACATTTGTCTCCACTTGCCAACCAAACTCCTCCTCAACCATCACTATCTTGGTGCAGTTGCCCTTCTAATTCACTACAAACAGATTGTTCGTTCTTCTTTCCCACAATGCCATGGGGGAGGGGGTTGGCATGGGTGCCCAGGCTGTATGGGAAAAGACCCCTCACTTACCATTGGCATTGGGCCCCCTCAGGGCCATGTGCCATCTCCAACAGTTCCAGTTCTACATTTCAGTACACATGGCTACCTGATAGGTAGAAACTGAGTAGAGAGATGAATGAATGAATGAATGAATGAATGAAGACTTTTGAATAACATGGCAACACCAGCTATCTCTTGGAGTTTCCCTCTGTCATCCAGGATGACCTCAGGAAAAGCAACCCACAGTGAGAACATATTTTATTTTATGGCAACTTAGACATCACTTAAGATGGAAGAAGAGCTCAGGCCTGGAATGGATCTATTCAAATTATAAGATTTTTTTTTCTCTTCTAGTCCTGGGCACTGACCCTGAGCTTCTTTTGCTCAAGGCTTGCACACTACCACTTGAGCCACAGCACCACTTCAGGCTTTTTCTGTGTATGTGGTACTGAGGAATGGAGCTCAGGGCTCCAGGCATGCTAGGCAAGCACTCTACCACTAAGCCATATTCTAGCCCCCAGAGCATAAGATTTAAGGATGAAATTAATAGGGATGAGGATGCGTGAGGTTACACTTCAAGGTTTCTCTGCTGTGAGATTGAAGACATCGTTTATTTGAAAATTCAGTTTGGCTGAGTGGTGGTTTGGGGGAAAAACAACAGTTTTTTAGAACTATGAAGAGAAATGCTTGGAAGATAGCTAGAAATAGATGTCTGGAGCTTGGGAGGGAACTCAGAGCTGGAGAAATGGATTTAAGAATCATCTGAAGCCAGGTGCTGGTGGGTAACTCATGCCTGTAATCCTAGCCACTCAGGAGGCTGAGACTGAAGATCCTGGCCAGCCAGGAGAAGACAAATCCAAGAGACTCTTACCTCCAATTAACCAGCAAGCAACCCAAAAAGGAAATGTGGCTTATGTGGTAGAGTACTAGCCTATAGCAGAAAACATTAAGGGAGAGCACAAGGCCCTGAGTTCAAGTCCCATTACCAGTGTTGTAATGTCCTTAGAGTCAAGAAAATCCACGAGGCACAGTTAAAGGTGACAAGGAGTTTTATTTGGCCAGCCAACAATTGCCTAGTCCTGGGAGGATCAAGAACATCACCAACCTCCAGTGTTTTTATATAGGTCAGAACTACACACAGGTGGTGGTTTACAGAAGCTCAAAGATGATTGGGGGCAGGGATATTCTTCAGCTGTGGTCAGGACCAGGCAAACAGCATTCTGGAAGCCAGAGATTCAGTACTGGAAGTGAGGGTTATACCACAGAGTAAAGAAAAAAGAAAAGAAGAAAAGCCAAGCACATGTGGCTCACATCTGTAATCCTAGCTACTCAGGATGCTAAGATCTGTGAATTGCAATTCAAAACCAGACTGGGAAGGATGGTGAGATTCTTTTTTTTTTTTTTTTTTTTGTCTGCCGTGGGGCTTGAACTCTGGGCCTGGGCGCTGTCCCTCAGCTCTTCAGCTCAAGGCGAGCACTCTACCACTTGAGCTACAGCGCCACTTCTGGTTTTCTGGTGGTTTAATGGAGATAGGAGTCTCACGGTCTCTCCTGCCTGGGCTGGCTTTGAACCACGATCCTCAGATCTCAGCCTCCTGAGTAGCTAGGATTACAGGCATGAGCCACCAGCGCCCGGTGGATGGTGAGATTCTTATTCTAAGTTGACCACCAAAAAGCTAGAAGAGGAGCTGTGGCTCAAGTGGTAGAGTACTGGCTTCGGGTGAAAAGCTAAGGGGCAGATCCTAAGCCCTGAGTTCAAGTCCCAGGACTGGTATTAAAAGAAAAGGCCCTAGGTGGGCACCAGTGGCTCATGCCTGTAATCCTAACTACTCAGGAGGCTGAGATCTGAGGATCGCAGTTTGAAGCCAGACCAGGCAGCGAAGTCCATGAGAGTCTTATCTCCAATTAACCACCAGAAAACAGGAAGTGGCATTGTGGCTCAAAGTGGTAGAGTGTTAGCCTTGATGAAAAAAGTGCAGACAGCTACCAGGTCCTGAGTTCAAAACCCACGACAAAGATAAGAAAGAGGGCTGGGAAGGTGGCTCAGTGGTAGTATTTGCCTTGCATGGATGAGGCCCTGGATTCTATTCCTCAACACAACATAAGCAGAAAAAGCCAGAAGTGGTACAAGTGGTAGAGCACTAGCCTTGAGCTGAAGAGCTGAGGGACAGCGCCCAGGCCCAGAGTTCAAGACTCACAACCAACAACAACAAAAAAAAAAAAAAAAAAAAAAAAAGGAAGGAAAGGAAAAGAGGCTGAGCTGGACTCTGGTGGCTCACCCCTATAATCCTAGCTACTTGGGGGCTGGGAAGGTGGCTCAGTGGTAGAGCACTTGCCTTGCATGCATGGGGCCCTGGGTTCGATTCCTCAGCACCACATAAGCAGAAAAAGCTGGAAGTGGCGCTGTGGCTCAAGTGGTAGAGTGCTAGCCTTGAGCTGAAGAGCTGAGGGACAGTGCCCAGACCGAGTTCAGGCCCCATGACTGGCAAAAAAAAAAAAAATCCTAGCTACTCAGAAAGCTGAGATCTTGAGGATCATGGTTTGAGACCAACCCAGAAAAGTCCATGAGACTTTTTTTTTTTTTTTTTTTGTCAGTTGTGGGGCCTGAATTCTGGGCCTGGGCGCTGTCCCTCAGCTCTTCAGCTCAAGGCTAGTGCTCAACCACTTGAGCCACAGCACCTCTTCCAGCTTTTTTCCGCTTACATGGTACTGAGAAATTGAACCCAGGGCCTGAAGCACGCAAGGTAAGCACTCTACCACTGAACCACCTTCCCAGTCCCCCCAAAATAAATTTTGTAATGAAATAAATAAAAATAATAAAAAAGAAAAGGTTAAAAAAAAAAAAAAGAAAGAAAGAAAAGGTCAGGTGTAGTGCCTTGTAATCCTAGCTACTCAGGAGGCTGAGATCTCAGGATCCATAGTTCAAAGCTAGCCTGGGCAGGAAAGTCCCTGAGACTCTTTATCTCCAATTAACCACTATAAAACCAGCAGTGGAGCTGTGGTTCAAAGTTGTAGAATGCAAGCCTTGAGCAAAAGAGCTCAGGGATGGTGCCCAGGCCCTGAGTTCAAGTCCCTCGACTGATCCCCCCCACCCCCAGCCCGAAACAAAGGCTTTCTAGCCCTCAGGAGGGAGCCCATTTCTGCCTTCAGTTGGGCTGGGCTTAGGGAGGGGACCTGCGCCTTCCTCAGGCCTAAAGCCTCCTCCCATGGGGGCAGGTCCCAGAGGCCTCTATTGAGAAAGGTCAGTCACCCGCAAGACCGTCCCTCCCTCTCCCCCCCTCCCCTCCGACAGCCCCACCCCCAGCCTGGCCTCTGGGAACGCGGATCGGAGCCGCGGTGGACGCTCTAGCTGACCGCTCCGTCACCATGGACGCTGAAGGTGAAGGGGCTGCTCGGCCCCGTGTCCCTCTCTCTCCCCATCCTGGACAGCCCTGTCCCTCTGCCCTTTCCTGGAAGGCCCCGGCCCCCTCCAACTCTCTATGGACTCTTTTCCCTCCCCTCCCCCTCCAGCCTCCAGGACCCCACCCCCACAAGGGCATCCTCTCCCTGTCCCCTCCCCCTGTTGGGCCCCCCACCGTTGAGTTGAGGAGTGAGGAGGCCCCGGGCCCAGGAGAGGGAAGGGAGGCTCGCGGACAGGGACAGAAGTCGGAGTGTGGCCGGGGCAGCGTGTGGACTCTGTCCCCTCTCTAGCCGCTGGGTAGAAGCCGAGGCAAAGTCCTGTGGAATCTGCTAGGTGGAATTGGGGTGGGGTGGGGGGTGGGGGATCTGCATGGCTGTGACCTGACACTGGGGGGGGGGGTCTCAGGACTCCCCCAGGGACAGGCTGCGGCAGGCCTCTGAGCCCCCAGGGCCCCATTTCCTTGACTTTGTAAGCTTTCCATGCATAGGCTCCAGCAGCTCTGAGGCTAAGTCCGGGGCGCACAGCCTGAGGCCCCTCAATTTCCACCCTGCCCCCTGAGCCTCTCCTCTCTGCCCCTCCACTGTCTTCTCCTGGGCTGGGGTTCTTGCACTAGCCCCTGGGGGCTCCGGTGAACTGGCTCTTGGGGTCTCCTGCAGGACAACAGGCTCCCACCCCTTGCAGCAGCTCCGGGAGCCAGGGCAAGTCACTTAGAGGGGAGGAGCCTTGGTTTGCACATGGGGGGGGGGGTGGAGCTGATGGCCAGGCCTCAGGGCTATAGAGACAGTTAACTACTGTGGCACAGGTGCTGGAGTATTGCCATCCTGGGCCCCAGGGGAATTCAGGACCCCCCCCCTCCCCCCCCCCCGTGTGTGTGTGTGTGTGTGTGTGTGTGTGTGTGTGTGTGTGCCAGTACTAGAACTTGAACTTAGGGCCTTGTGCTCATATTCTGTCTCACTTAGCTTTTTGGTGGTGGTGGTGGTGGTTGTAGGGCTTGAACTCAGGGCCTGGGCATTGTCCCTCAGCTCTTCAGCTCAAGGTGAGCACTCTACTGTACTACTACTTGATCCACAGCGCCACTTCCTGTTTTCTGGTGGTTCTTTGGAGAAAAGAGTCTCACGGGCTTTCCTGCCTGGGTTGGCTTTGAACTGTGATCCTCAGATCTCAGCCTCCTGAGTAGCTAGGATGACAGGCGTGAGCCACCGGCACCTGGCTGTCATTTAGCTTTTTTGCTCAAGGCTGGCCCTTTACCACTTGAGCTACACTTCCACTTCTGGTTTGAGTAGAAAAGCCAAGTGAGAGGGGGATGAGGCTCTGAATTCAAGCCACAACACACACACACACACACACACACACACACACAAACACACACACACACACACACACACACACTTCTGTGCTAATACCCTATTGTATCGTGAGCAGAGAGAACTCTAGTCCTGGCTTCTCCTTGAGGCCTGCTCAGCCTGACCTTATCCCAAGATTCTTGGTTGCCCTATGCCTTTCCAGTCTACAAGTGCCAGGGCTTTCCTGAGTGACCTGTGGCCCCTCCATTCTCTGCAGAGCACCTTCACCCCATCAAATTCCCACAGACACTCAGGCCAGCTCTTCCCAAGCCCTACCCAGGCCTCTCTTGCCCTCACCCTCTACAGCATCCCATATTCCGAAAGTCTACACATCAGGTTAGCACTTAGGTGATGGGGGTAAGGGGTTCACCCAGAACCTTTTTGGAAGTCATTTTCCTTCTCTAAGGAGAGAAAGGGTTCATGCCTGAAATCCTAGCTACTCAGGAAGCTGAGGTCTGAAGATTGCTATTCAAAACCAGCCTTGGTAGAAAAGTCCACAAAAGACTCAGATCTCCAATTGAGCAGCAAAAAGCTAGGAGTAGAGGTGTGGTTCAAGTGATAGAACACCACGGCGTCTAGGCCCTGAGTTCAATTCCCACCAACAAGCATTGAATATACAACAAGCACTGAAAATAGACTTCATTGCCAAATCCAGTGGTGGTGTGGGAGGGTGAAATGGGTCTGTGAATCCTGGAGCAGGTTTGCCAGGGTTTGTGAGCCCAACATCACAATTCCCACCCGTGCGAATGTTGACAAGTTATTATTCTTACTTTTTTAAATGTATTATTTGTGTTTGCCAGTTCCTGAGTTTCAAGTCAGGGCCTGGTGCTGGCTTTGCTTGCTTGCTTTGCTGGTGCTCTACCACTTGAACCACACCTCCAGTCCTGCTTTTCTTGCTGACTATTTGAAAGGAAATAGATACCACTTTTATTCACATTGTAGTCACTCCGGAGAAAGGGTTAAGAAGGAATTCCCTTGAGATATCAGGGTTATATTCCTCCCCCTTCCCTCCTCGCCCCCCATGATGAAACTATCTTCTCAGAAGTCCAGGGACCTTGAAACCACTTTGAATGGCCAACCCTCTAGAACTAGAATCTGGAGAACTGCCGTGTATCGCTTCTCCCATCCTCCTCCTGCAGCTGCAGAGACACTAACTGGTGTGTTGAAGTGAGCCCCTTTGGGGAACAGCTGCTAATCAGGAAAGCCTGGATATTCAAAGCTACTCACAGAAATCCCTTTTGTTGGAAATTCAAGAGCCAGGGGGCTGAGGGGGGGGTGGGGGGGGCGGGGGGGGCTAACGAAACACCAGATGTGTTTATTTATTTTCTACTAGTGGAAAGTGCCTCTGCTCAAGGCAATCAGGACAGTGGATCTCCCTGAAGTGGGTGCCAGGAAAACCCTGGGGTCCACACAGACACAGCTGGGTGTTCTACATAGCCCAGCTGTGGAGAGGAAAGGCCTCGGTCCCCGTTTATCTTATTTTCTAGCTGATCAGTTTCTAGCTCTACCCTTTAGATCATTTCCTTTTACATGTCTGGGTTTTTTTTTTTTTTAATCTAGAAATACAAATCTTACGTAGCTTGAAGGATTGTGGGTAGAATTTCTAGCAATATATGGAAAATGTCTGGTACTTGGAAGCCATTGTTCTCCTTGATGCTCAGAAGTTCAGGCTTCAAGCTACAAATTTGATTGATTGATTGATTGATTGATGGCTTTTTTTTTTCTAGTCCTGGGCCTTGAACGCAGGGCCTGAGTGTTGTCCCTGAGCCTCTTTGTGCTCAAGATTAGTGTTTGATCAATGGAGCCACAGAGCCACTTCTGGCTTTTTCTGAGTAGTTTATTGGAGATAAGAGTCTTCACAGACTTTCCTTCCAGGTCTTACAACCTCGAGCCTCAGATCTTACTCTCCTGAGTAGTTAGGGGTACAGATGTGAGCCACCGTGCCTGGCCACATTCTAGAAGGATTTTTCTTTGTCTGTATGTGCCAATTCTGGGGCTTGAACTCAGGGCCTGGGCATTGTCTCTGAGCTTTTTTGCTCAAAGGCTAGAGCTCTACCACTTGAATCACAGATCTACTTTTGGCTTTTTGGTGATTGATCAGAGATAAGAGTCTCCCGAACTTTCCTGCCTGGTCTGGCTTTGAACCTTGATCTTCAGATCTCAGCCTCTTGAGTAGCTCGGATTACAGGTGGGAGCCACTGGTACCCTATTCATGAGCATTGTTTTTTGACCTTCATGTGTCAAAGTTACAGAGTACAATGAAGCATGACTTAGAACCTGGAAACCGGGGAACCCCCCACCCCAAGATTCTGCCACAGTCTGCAGTGGACCCCAGCAGCTCAGATCCTGAAAGGTTTCCAGATGCTTCTAAGGCATAGCCCCGTGTGAGGGCCCCACATCTCCAGCATCCCTTTCTTCATGTTCCTGTGGCTTCGGGCCGCACCACACAGCATCAATACTGTGTGGCCAACACCTCCTGGCTGCTAAGTCCAGTGACCCATTTTTCAGGCTTCCTCCTACTTGTTCTGCCCACACCCTGCTTCTAGAACCCTCTTCTTACCCAACCCCAGACATCCGGCCTGCTTCTTAAGTAGCCACGCTGCTACTTGCCCTTGCCTTACTGACAATTCCCAGAGCCCTCTGCGTAGGCCCTGTGGCCTCATCCACTGCCATCTGCTGTCACTGTCTCTGTTACTACCCCCGGGTGGCTCTGATCTCTCTACTCCCCACCCCTGCATCCCTGGATCCTCTCTGTCTGGGCACTGTCCCTAAGTTATTGTTGTTGTTTTCTTCAAAACTAGCACTCCACCACTTGAATCACAGCCTTACTGGGACAGCTGAGTTCAAGCCCCAGGACTAGCTCACTGGCATGTGCATGTGCGCATGTGCATGCGTGCATGTACACACACACACACACAAGCTACAATCACCTTATTCCTTAGCTCCCAGTTCTATGATGGTTTCAGAATCTGCCCACACTCTTCTTTTTTTGTTGGTTCTGGAACTCAGGGTGTGGATGCTGTCCGTGAGCTTTTTTGGCTCAAGGCAAGCACTCTGCCACTTTTTATTGTTGTTGTTTTGTCAGTCGTGGGGCCTGAACTCTGGGCCTGAGTGCTGTCCCTTAGCTCTTCAGCTCAAGGCTAGTGCTCTACCATTTGAGCTACGGCACCATTTCTGGCGTTTTCTGTTTATGTGGTGCTGAGGAATCAAACCCAGGGTCTCATGCATGCAAGGCAAGCAAGCACTCTACGACTGAGCCACCTTCCCAGCCCAGCACTCTGCCACTTTAAGCTACAGCTTCACTTATGGTTTCCTAGTGGTTAACTGGAGATAAGAGTCTCAGGGACTTCCCTGCCTGGGTTGGGTTTGAACCATGATCCTCAGATCTCAGCCTCCTGAGCAGCTAGGATTACAGGCACGAGCCACCAGCATCTGGCCTGCCCACACTCTTGAGCTAAGAGGCTTAGCTGTTCTGTCCTGTGGCCTCTTGTGAGTCCTAATCTCAGTTCTCTCCCTGCCTGTTGTTTGCCTTTGAGCCCTGAGCACTGCTCAGTCTCCAATGTCTTCTCCCTCCACACCTCTCCCTGGCAAACTCAACCTTCCCTGCTGACACTCATCTCCTCCTGGCTGCCTCCTTCACACTCAAAAGGCTTCTATCATTAGCAAACACGCCTACTGTGTGCCAGGTGACACCCTGAAGGGCTTTGCAAATATTAGCACCTTTATTTTTATAACAACCTGTGAGGTCATGATCTTATTTGCATGTGGGGTGTATGTGTATGTATGCGCACGCGCACAGTAGAGCTTGAACTCAGGGCCTGGGTTATGTTGCTTAGTTTTCTCCACTCAAGGTTGGTGTTCTATCCCTTGTGCCGTAGATCCGCTTCTGGCTTTTGGGTGGTTTATTGGAGATAAGTCTCTCAGACTTTCCTGTTCAGGCTGGCTTTGAAGCATGACTCTCAGATCTCAGCCTCCTGAGTAGCTAGGATTACAGGCATGAGCCACTGGTGCCTGGCTCAAATTTACTTTTTGTTTTTTTCTTTCAGTACTAGGGTTTGTACCCAGAGCTTTGAGCATGCCAGGCAAGTGTTCTACTACTGAGCCATGCTTCCATCCCGATCTATTTGCATATTTTTAATTCTTTTTTTTTTTGTGGTACTGGAGATTAAAGTTGGGGCTCATGATTTCTAGGCAGATGCTCTACCACTAAGTCATGCTTCCAGCTCTGGTTTTTGCTGGTTAGTTGTTTTTTTTTTGGGGGGGGGAGTTCATGGGGCTTGAACTCAGGGCCTGGGTGCTGTCCCTGAGCTTTTGTGCTCAGAGCTAGTGCTCTGGCATTTTGAACCATAGTGCCACTTCCAGTTTTCTGGTGGTTAATTGGAGATAAGAGTCTCACAGACTTTCCTGCTCAGGCTGGCTTTGAATCGTGATCCTCAGATCTCAGCCTCCTGAGTAGCTAGGATTACAGGTGTGAGTCACTGGTGCCAGGTGCTTGTTAGATTTTTGTTTTTGTTTTTGTTTGTTTTTGGTGGGTCATGGGACTTGAACTCTGGGCCTGGGCACTGTCTCTCAGTGCTTCAGCTGAAGGCGAGAGCTCTACCAGTTGAGCCACAGCACCACTTCTGTTCTCTGGTGGTTTATTGGAGATAAGAGTCTTATGGGCTTTCCTGCCTCGGCTGGCTTTGAACCACGATCCTCAGATCTCAGGCTCCTGAGGAGCTAGGATTACAGGCCTGAGCCACAGGAGCCCGGTGTGCTTGTTAGTTTTTGCGACAGGGTTTCACTTCCTGCCCAGATATGCACCTGGGCCACAATATGCCTACTCTAGGTTTCCTGTAGTTACTGAATGACAAGTGCATGTCCATTCTGTTGAGAATGTTGTCTGAATGGAAACATTCAACGGCAGTCTTTGACTCTAGATTCTTGTACTGTGTGTAACCTGGGTGCTGTTCCTTAGCTTTTCACTCAAGGCTGCCACTGTACCACCTGAGCCAGAACTCTACTTCTGGCATTTTGGTAGTTAATTAGAGATAAGAGTCTCCCTAATTTGTCTGCCTGCATTAGCTTCAAGCTGTGATCCTCAGATCTCAGCCTTCTGAATAGCTAGGATTACAGACATGAGTCACCATCGCCAAGATGAGGTTTTTGTACTTAGAATACTATATTTAGGGCAAAAAGTTTCTACCATGTCAATTAGTGGCTGGGTCCTTTTTTATTATTGCATAATAGATTTGCATTGCATAGATAGATTCTCATTTTGTTTGTTTTGCTTCTCCTTGGCATTAAATTTTTTTCATTATTATAAAGGTGATGTACAGAGGGGTTACAGTTACATAAGTCAAGTAAAGAGTACACTTCTCTTCCCCCCCCTTTTTTTTTCCTTTTTCTGCTAGTCCTGGGGCTTGAACTCAGATCCTGGGCACACTCCCTGAGCTTCTTTTGCTCAAGGCTAGCACTCTACCATTTGAGCCACCTCTTTTTCTGAGTAGTTTATTGGAGACAAGACTCTCACGTACTTTCCTGCTTGGGATGGCTTCAAGCCATGATCCTCCCATCTCAGCCTCCTGAATAGCTAGGATTACAGGCATGAGCCACCAGTGCCTGCCTAAGAGTACATTTCTTTTTGGACAATGTCATCCCTCCCCTTGCTTTCTTCCAGTTTTTCCCTCTTGTCCCCATCTACAAGTTGTATAGTTCATTTTCAACATAGTGTCTAGTGAGTACCACTGGTTGCCTTTGTTCATCCTTTGTTCCCCCCTTTCTGTGTTTTGTTTCTTAAAATCACTGCTTCTAGTTTGAATGGAGGAATTTCAGGGAAGAATATACCTCTCTGCTATTTGTTCCCAGGCCTTTTCCTTAGGTGGGTGGTGAAGGGACCGTCAGCCTGGGCACAGCCAGCTGGGGTTAGGGCAATGCAGATAGATGCTGAAGACTGGCTCAGGGCACGCGGGGTGAGTGATCCCTGAGTGATTGTCTTTGGAGAAGAATGAAACTGGGCATTTCTCTCTGTGTGTGTGTGTGTGTGTGTGTGTGTGTGTGTGTGTGTGTAAGGGATAGAGAAAGAGAGAGCATGCACACGTGTGGCTGTAAAAACAAATACCCTCACACTGGGTCTAATTTTTCTCCCCCATCCCTGGAAAGCCAAATACCTTGATGGCTGGACTCAAGAGGCTGCAAATCTTTCTCTGACCGACAGATGGCGGTGCTGGCCCACATCTGGGTTCCGCCACTGCAGTCTACTCAATAGACCAGAAAGGCAAGTCAGCAGGCCATGCAGGACCTTCGATCACCCTGCTCACACCCCTTATTTCTGAAGCCATGTTTCACAGAAGAGGGTGTCAAACCCAGTTTTCCTGTGTCCTTTCCTCCTTGAATGGCCTTTAGCTCTAAAGGCAACCCAGCTGAAACTTAGAAGAGATTTCTAAAGTAGAAACAAAGGCAGAGAGACAGACAGAGACAGCCAAGCATCTAGTTCTGATCTTATTGCCAATTTGTTGCATGACCTCAGCCAATTTGCCTTTCCTCTGTGGTCCTCATAAAAATCTGAGTTTACATCTTTAATATACTAGGATGAAAAAGACCCATGTTCATAAAGTGCTGGAGGGCTTCCATGTGTATACATAACTAATCTTTGCAGGCAAACAGATAGGAAAAAACAGGGTGGCCTTCATTCAAGTACACACAGGACAGCTGCATGCGTTGTTAGAACATTACATACAGCCAAGTGTAGTAGTGCACAGCTGTAATGCCAGCATTCAGGAGGCTTGAAGCAGAGGATCTCGAGTTCATAGCTACATAGTGAGATCCTGTTTTAAAAGAAAACAAATGCATAACATACTGCTATTATTGGTCTTTTTATATAAATATAAATATATATACATATATATAATTTGAATTTTTGGAAACTTTAGCTGTGCTGTCAACTTTGGAAAAAAGTATCCCAGTTTACCATGTTGAGTTAGCATTGTACAGAAATTAATAGCCATATTGGTCTAGAAATGTTAAACTTAATTTTTTTCCATTTGTACAGGGGTAAACGCACTGTATTAAATATGTAAGGTCTTATCTACATGGGTTTGATTACAGAAACTAATAAAGTATTCTCTAAATAATGAAAAAAATAAAAAGAAAAGAAAACAAACAAGAACCCCAAAACAACTTCCAGGTGGGTGCTGGTGGCTCATGCTTATAATAATTCTAGCTATTCAGGAGTCTGAGATCTGAAAGGATCATAGTTCATAGCCAGCCTGGGTGGTAAAGTCTATGAGACTCTTCATCTCCAATTAACTACCAAAAAGCCTAAGTGGAGTTGTGGCTCAAGAGGTAGGGTGGCAGCCAAGACCAGGGAGCAGGAGACCCTGAGTTCAAACCCCAGTATTGCCACAAAAAGAAAAGATGAAAGAAAAAAAAACTAAAAAGAACATGGTGCCGGGTGCTGGTGGCTCATGCCTGTAATCTTAGCTACTCAGGAGGCTGCGATCTGAAGATCCCGGTTCAATGCCAGCCTGGGTAGGAAAGCCCGCAAGACTCTTATCTCCAATGAATCACCAGAAAACTGGAAGTGGCGCTGTAGCTCAAGTGGTAGAGCGCCCGCCTTGAGCTGAAGAGCTGAGGAACAGCACCCAGGCCCAGAGTTCAAGCCCCACAAGAAAAGAGCATGGTCATGACAGGAAGAAACCCATATCTGGCTTTTTAAAAAGATTATGTGATTCTTATTAGAAATGAATCTCACTAGATTGTCCTGTATTTCAATTTGTCCCGTGCTCTGAGTCCACACTGGGGCCGGCCTCACCTCTAGGATCCAGCTCTCCTCCCTGGTTGGCTAGTCCCCCTCCCCTGGATCTAGCTCTCCTCTCTGGTTGGCTAGCTCCCGCCCCGCCCCCTTATTTATCTCTCCTCCCTGATTGGCTAGTCTCCCTCCCCTGGATCCAGCTCTCCTCTCTGATTGGCTAGCGCCCGATGCAACAGGTTGTTACATATTCTGTCTCCCGCAGGGTAGGCAGCCGCAGCCCACCAACGTGGCGCCCGTGTTGTTCCTTTGCAGGCCTGGAGCTCCTGCTGCCCCCGACCACCCTGGCCGCCCTGGCGGACAGCTGGCTCCAGGAGGACTGTCCGGGCCTCAACTTCGCAGCTCTGGTGACCGGGGCAGGCCCCGCGCAGGCGGCACTGTGGGCCAAATCGCCCGGGGTCCTGGCCGGACGGCCTTTCTTCGATGCCATCTTTGCCCGGCTCAGCTGCCAGGTGTCCTGGCTCCTCCCGGAGGGCTCGAAGCTGGTCCCGGTGGTCAAGGTGGCCGAGGTCCGGGGCCCTGCGCACCGCCTGCTGCTGGGGGAGCGGGTGGCCCTGAACACGCTGGCCCGCTGCAGCGGGGTGGCCAGCGCGGCCGCCTCGGCGGTGGAGGTGGCCCGGGCCGCGGGCTGGGCCGGGCGCGTGGCCGGCACGCGGAAGACCACACCCGGCTTCCGGCTGGTGGAGAAGTACGGGCTCCTGGTGGGCGGGGCCGCCTCCCACCGCTACGACCTGGGCGGGCTGGTGATGGTGAAGGACAACCATGTGGTGGCCGCCGGCGGGGTGGCCAAGGTGTGTGTCCCGCTGAGCCTCTGCTCTCCTTCGGGTCCGACCCGCACTCTGATCACAGCCCTTCTCTCTACCAGAGCCGCCCGCCGCTGCGCGGTGATCGTGAATCCCGAGTCGGATGCAAGGCGCCCCCCTCTCACAGCCCCTCCACGCGCGTCAGGGAGGGAGGCAGATGCGGTTCACCTGTGTGTTTTTGTGGGCCGGTCCTAGGGCTTGAACTCAGGGCCTGGGCGCTGTACCTTAGCTTTTTCCCTCAAGGCTGGTGCTATGCCACTTGATCCACACCTCCACTTCTTGCTTTTTGCTGGTTAGTTGGACAGTCTCATGGACTTTTCTGCCCAGGTTAGCTTTGAACCTCTCTCTTTAGATCTTATCCTCCTGTCTAGTTAGGATTACAGGAGTGAGCCTACATACACTTTTTTTTTTTTCCCCAGCGGTGGGGCTTGAACTCTGGGCCTGGGCACTGTCCCTCAGCAATTCAGCTCAAGGCGAGCGCTCTACCCCTTGAGCTACAGCAGCACTTCTGGTTTTCTAGTGGTTTACTGAAGATAAGAGTCTTGTAGACTTTCCTGCCCGGGCTGGCTTTGAACCGTGATCTTCAGATCTCACCCCCCCCTTAGCAGTTAGGATTACAGTCATGAGCCACCAGGGCCTGGCTAGACACACTTCTTTTGCCTAGCTACTTTTTTGTTTTGCTGCTTGGTATGCCAGTTCAAGAGCAAAGAACACAATGTTGGGAACACAATGTCAAGGGCTCACTTGAATTTGTGGATTTGTTTTTTTCAGCTGTAGGAATGTGGTATGTGGTCTTTCTTTTCTTTTCTTCCTTCCGTCCTTTCTTTCTCTTCTCTCTCTCTCTCTCTCTCTCTCTCTCTCTGTGGGGGGGGGGTCCTGGGGTTTAAACTCAGGGCCTGGGCACCATCTCTGTGTTTGTCTCTCTCTCTCCCTCAAGGCTAGTGCTCTGCCACTTGAGCCACAGCTCCACTTCCAGCTTTTTTTGGGGGGGGGGGGAGGGTGGCAGTTTATTGGAGATAAGAGTCTCATGGACTTCCCTGCCTGGGCTGACTTCAAAACATGATCCTCAGACCTAAGTCTCCTGAATTGTTAGGATTACAGGCATAAGCCACTGGGCACTCAGTTGTAGGATTTTTTTTTTTTTTTTTGGTCCAGTCTTGGGGCCTGAACTCTGGGCCTGGGCGCTGTCCCTCAGCTCTTCAGCTCAAGGCTAGCGCTCTACCACTTGAGCCACAGCGCCACTTTCAGCTTTTTTCTTTTTGCTTATGTGGTGCTGAGGAATTGAACCCAGGGCCTCATGCATGCAAGGCAAGCGCTCTACCACTGAGCCACCTTCCCAGCCCCTATAGGGATGTTTTTGAAGACCCTTTTATAGTTCTAATAGTCAAGTCAAACTTGAATTCTGGTCTATTTTTTTTAACCTGCAAAATGGTTTAACCTAATAGAAAGCTCCCCAAATTTTCTCCTCCACCTCCAGTCCCTTCTGTGTCCCAGCTCCTGGCACCCAGTTAACTATCCTCACCCCTCCCCCTCATGGGTTCTAACCCCGCAGGCGGTCCAGGCTGCCCGGCAGGTGACAGACTTCACCCTAAAGATAGAAGTGGAATGCAGCTGCTTGCAGGAGGCCATGCAGGCCGCTGAGGCAGGTGCAGACCTCCTCTTATTGGACAACTTCAAGCCTGAGGTGAGGCGGGATCTGATTGATGGGGAGGGGTCACGGGAGAGAGGACTCTCACCTCCCCTGAGCTTGTGTCTTGTAGGAGCTTCACCCCACAGCTGCTGCGGTGAAGGCCCAGTTCCCAAGTGTGACTGTGGAAGCCAGTGGGGGTGTCACGCTGAGCAACCTCCCCCAGTTCTGTGGGCCCCAGATTGATGTCATCTCTCTGGGGATGCTTACCCAGGCTGCCCCTGCCCTCGATTTCTCCCTCAAGCTGTTTGCCGAAGGGACCACTCCAGTGCCCTACCCCTGCCGATCCTGAAGTCGTGATTGGCTGGACACATCTTTAGTGTGACCTGCCAGGCCTGACTTCACCTCTGTTCACCTCAGTTTCCTCATCTGTAAAATGGGTCTAATAAACTCAACCTGATGGGCTTTTTTATGGTAATAACTTTATGGTAATAATTACCATACACTAAGTGGTCAGTGTTAGAAATGACTAACATGCACTGTTTACTGTCAAGTCAGGGGGCCTCTTTATGGTGTTGTACAAGAAGACACGTTACATGAGAGCTGGCATTGTGCAGCAGAGGATGTACGGGTGGCCTGGATGGCACCTATATGTCATCACTCAGAGATAGCGGATCTATGTTGAAATGCCTAGGGCAGCTTAGATTACTTTTGAAGATGAGGTCTCGTAGACCAGTACCAGTGGCTCACTCCTGTCATCCTAGCTACTCAGGAGGCTGAGATCTGAGAATTGTCTTATACCTGAGAATTTCAAAGGCAGACCCAGGCAAACAGATTTGCGAGACTCTTGTTCTCCAGTTAACCAGCAAAAAGCTGGAGGTGGAAAGCGTGGATCACATGGTAGAGTGCCAGCTGCAGAAAAAGCCAAGTGAAAATGCAAGGCCCTGACTTCATGCCCTAGTTGCAGCATGCCCGTGTGCACACTCACACGCGCGTGCGCACACACACACATGGTCTCACAGTGTAGCCCTGGTTGACCTCAAACTTTCAATTGAGTAGTTCCTGCCAGCTCAATCTTCCTAGCTGGGACTACAGGTGAATCTCACAGCCTTTGGTTTAAAACGGCTATTTCAGCACATAGAAAACAGAAAAAAAAATTGGTCAAAGTCCAACAGTTTCATCATCATTATTATTGTTATTGTTATGAGAGAGAGAGAGAGAGAGAGAGAGAGAAATAACTGTTAGAAAGATGGAGGAGAAAGGAAGGAAATAGGCCAAACTCCATATCAACAGACCAGGACTATTTATTGTCGGGGAAGGACACGGTCCTTCCTGTGGGTCTGGCGGTTGTGGGGTAGGGTTGGAGTGAAGGTTTTTATAGGGGCTGAGCAAAGAGACAGCGGTATATGAGTCTAGTATAGGGAGGCGACTGCAGGTGGAGGCAGAGAATAGAAGGTCCCCTTCTCCAAGGTCTCAAGCTTTTTAATGTTCAAACAGCTCTACATCTGTCTTGCCTAGACAGTTTGACCTTCACAGGATACAGGGTTGGTTTTTTTTTGGTCTTTCAACCTTTTAACCCTTTCCTGGCCTCAGAGCCTTACACGCTGGGCCCACCCTGAAATGTTTACAACCAGGCTCAGTTCCCATTGCCCTGCCTGGGTCAGGCAGTCTGCGCCTCTCTTTGGTGGCTTGCCTGGCATCTGTATGCACCTGGGAAAAACGGGGTGGGGGTGACTCCTTCATATTCCATCTTTGGATACATGGAAAGAATGGGCTAAAAGGGGAGAGGAAAGTCCTTCAATAAAGAGTTCAGATCAGCCGGGCGCTGGTGGCTCACGCCTGTAATCCTAGCTACTCAGGAGGCTGAGATCTGAGGATCGTGGTTCAAAGCCAGCCCGGGCAGGAGAGATCGTGAGACTCCTATCTCCAATAAACCACCAGAAAACAGGAAGTGGTGCTGTAGCTCAAGTGGTAGAGCGCTCGCCTTGAGCTGAAGAGCTGAGGGACAGCGCCCAGACCCAGAGTTCAAGCCCCACGACCGACAAAAAAAAAAAGGAGTTCAGATCAGAGGCAGGAGTCCCAAGCCCTTTATCCTTCATGCACCAGCTGTGCCAGGCTGGGAGCCAACAGTAGAAGGAGATTCATTTGACAGGAGATGCTGGACAGACTTGGTTTGCTGCCTTTGGTGATGTTCTGAGCACAAAAGGCCTCACCCCCAGCGCACAGCCCCGAGGCGGCCCCTGGGATGCACCTGTCCTGTCTGATGCCACCTCCATCCTGTCTGATGCCACCTCCATCCCGTGTCCTGTCTCTCCCAGAGAAGCATGGACACGCTCATCTATGGGGTCCAGCTTTGGAAAGCTCAGATCTGAGAGCCTCCTCTTCCCAGAAGAAGGAGAAGTGAACTTCTGGAAGAACTGGGCACCCAGGAAATTAGATCCAGGAGTGGTCTGGGAATTGAAAAGCAAAACGCTAGGCTCCAGGGGGAAGTGAAGGCCCAGGAGAGGTGTAAGTGGGGAATGTGTACCAGGACTGTCAAGCGCAAATACCTCTGCACTCAAATGTGTAAAGATGGAAGAAGAAGGGAAGTAGACTGTGGCCAAGAGGAAAACGCATGTGACACCATTGTGTTACAGCACTGCCCCCCCCCTTTTTCCTTTTTTTCTTTCTTTTTTTTTTTTTTAAAGAAATCGATGTTGGGTGCTGTTACTCAGGCCTGTAAATCCTAGCTACTCAGGAGGCTGAGATAGGAGGATCATGGTTCAAAGCCAGTCGTAGGACCTGAACTCTGGGCCTGGGCGCTGTCCCTCAGCTCTTCAGCTCAAGGCTAGCGCTCTACCACTTGAGCCACAGCGACACTTCCCACTTTTTCTGCTTATGTGGTGCTAAGGAATCGAACCCAAGGACTCATGCATGCAAGGCAAGCACTCTACCACTGAGCCACCTTCCCAACCCTGTGAGATTCTTATCTCCAAATAACCACACACACACACACACACACACACACACACACACAACCCAAAACAAAACCAAAAAACAGAAATAAAGCTGTGGTTAAAAAGCTAAAAAGCGGGGCTGGGAAGGTGGCTCAGTGGTAGAGTGCTTGCCTTGCATGCCAGAGGCCCTGGGTTCAATTCCTCAGGACCACATAAGCAAAATGAAAAAAAGCTGGAAGTGGCGCTGTGGCTCAAGTGGTAGAGCGCTAGCCTTGAGCTGAAGAGCTGAGGGACAGCGCCCAGACCCAGAGTTCAGGCTCCATGACCGGACTCAAAAAAAAAAAAAAAAAAAGCTAAAAAGCTCAGGGACAGTACTCAGGCCCTGAATTCAAGCCCTAGGACCAGCACAGAAAAACAGAACAAAACAAAACAAAGATCTCCCAGGCTGAATCTTAAGTTCACCTTTAAGTTTACCCTTGAACCCAGAAACCACTCAGCACTTACAGGAAACTCCAGATGTGAGAGCTGGGGAGGAGATCCCATTATAGAAGGAAGGAAATGGCTCTTGGGTGAGCACAGGCAACATACTCCTTCCTTGCAAGGAGCTGGGCTTCCAGGCAGAGGGCATTGCACGGGCAAAGGCCCAGAGGTAGGAAATAGCTTGTATAGGGGGGGTGTAGTATTGGAAGCTGGACTTGCGAAAGCAAGTCAGCTTGGAGATAGACTGGCTCCAGACCACAAAATGGGCAGAGGATTTGGATTCTGTCCCAAGAACAATCAGATTCAAGCTGGAAAATGAGATAAGCATATTTGCAGTTGAATCCAGTCCACAGCAGGAAGATGCATTTAAGGGGGGGGGGAGGGGGAAGGGCAGAGAGGCTACAGAGGGCCAGGAGCAGGGCTGCCCAAGACGGCTTGGATGTAGGTCAGACCAAGTGGGGCTGGGGAGAATGAGATGCAGGCAGAGGATAGACATCTCTAGGCTCAGCGGGCAGAAGGAGCTGGTGAGTTAGAGGCGGGAGGAAGGATTGGGTGTGGCCAGACAGGCATCACCATTGTGAACTGGTGGATGAAAAGAAAATGGTGGCGATTGAGTATCTGGTTCAGCATGTGTAGACCTCCTTTCTTTAGAAATGCTCATAGGGAAGGGGGGTGAGGAGTAGTGTCTCTATTTTACCCCTAAATAAACTGGTAGGCTGGGGTATGGCTTAAGTGGTAGAGTGCCTGCTTAGCAAGCTCAAGGCTCTGAGTTCAAACCCCAGGTAATCAGCAAAACAAACAAACAAAACACCCAAATCGGAAATGGGGCTGTGGCTCAAAGGGCAGAGTGCCAACTTTGAGCATAAAAGCCAAGCAAGAGCACAAAGTCCTAAGGGCAAGCCCCAATACGGATACACACACACATACACTCACACACACACACATTTTAAAAATAGACAAAAAAAGGTTGGGGGTGTGGCTCAAGGAGTAGATCTTACTAGCAAGCTAGAGCTCCCAGTCACCCATAGCACACATCAATAAAGTGAGGCAGAATTGTGTGTGTGTGTGTGTCCTGGGGCTTGTACTCAGAGCCAGGGTACTGACCCAGAGCTTTTTTGCTCAAGGCTAGTGCTCTATCACTTGACTTACAGCTCCACTTCAAGGTTTTTGGAAGTTCATTAGAGATAAGAGTCCCACAGATTTTCCTGCCCAGGCTGGCTTTGAACCAAGATCCTTAGACCTCAGCCTTCTGTGTAGCTAGGATTATAGGCATGAGCCACCAGGGCCTGACTTTCAGGGCAGAATTTGAAACCTGTATTCTGAAATCTGTCATTCACTTCTTGAAGGATTGTGTATTGAACACCTGGCATGGAAGGCAATATCCAGATGCTGAATATAAAACAATGATTAAGTAGAAAAAGTTATTTTCATTCTACCCTGGGGTTGGGGTAGAAGCAGGGAAGAGCAGGCAAGAAAGAAAGAAAGAAAGAGGGCTGGGAAGATGGCTCAGTGGTAGAGCGCTTGCCTTGCATGCCTGAGGCCCTGGGTTCGATTCCTCAGCACCACATAAGCAAAAAGAAAAAAGCTGGAAGTGGCGCTGTGGCTCAAGTGGTAGAGTGCTAGCCTTGAGCTGAAGAGCTGAGGGACAGTGCCCAGGCCCAGAGTTCAGGCCCCATGACTGGACCCCTCCCCAAAAAAAACACACAAAAAAAGAAAGAGAGAGCGAGAGGAAGGAAGGAAGGAAGGAAGGAAGGAAGGAAGGAAGGAAGGAAGGAAGGAAGGAAGGAAGGAAGGGAAAAAGAAAAGGAGAAAAAAAAAGAAAAAGGACCATTAACTCATAGTGACCACCAGGGGGAGCTGCAGCCACACCTGCCTTCCTTTGATTTCTGGCTCCTCATTCCAGACAATAGCCTAGGTGGGCCTGGGTATTTCAACATCTGCTCAGGAAGAAAGCTGCAGAGGAATTTGAAAGCTGAGATGAATTGCTTCTTTCATTTCCCCTGATGAATCCCATCATCAGATCTTCATCCAATTGCCCCAGGTAACTGGCTTCAAAGCCCTC